ACATTACACAAGCAACTTCTAAGACCACAACGGCTCATTTAACTGACACGTGACTTTTTTGAATGCCCAGAGTGTTGTCGGTGGCCAGATAGCAAACAAACAATGACAGCTGTATACAGTGCTACTCCAGCTGATCCCATCTTGTGCCAACCAAATTAAATTAGCAGGGAAGTGAAGTAAAATGTATGCAAAACGCCAGCTACGCTTGGCCTTGGTGTTGCCTCCCCTCTTACTGCTGGAGGAGGAGGAACCGTTTGATTAACTGAGGTCAGAAGGTCAAGCCACAGAGAACAATGGGGTGGCTTGTAGCGGTGGGTGAGTCACAAAATATAGTTTTAATCCATTACCAAGCAACAACACACAAGCCATGTGTATTAACCCTTGCCTAACAGTAGGCATGTTTAAATATCAGAAGGTTGTGTCATCCGACAGCAGCAGAGATCCCAATCCTGCAATAAGAAGGAATGTGATGGATGTGTTGGATCGATTAAGCCTTGTATCCAACTCAAAGTAAGACTTTAGCTATACGCGGCATCTTTACTATAAAGGGATTGATCTTCCTGCTCTAATGGCTTGTTGGACCTCACAAGGTCACCCTCAGGCCATCGGCTGATTAACAGAAAGGAAGAAAGACAGCTGGAATCAGCCTAATTATGACCCATGTCTTCTTCCCTTCCTTCTTAAATATCAAGGGTAACGTTCAACAACCAACTAATATCTCTCCAAAGCTTTTAACAGTGGTTTAAAAAAAATGAATGAATGCACATCTATTGAAGATGTAAGTGAAAAATATTTTAATGCACACCCATGATGCAATTCGAATTTAGCCATTACCTGAACGATCTTGAATCCGTACAGACAAACATGCTTAGCTAACCACCACGCTCAACATTACCATACAGGAAGACAACACTGCGGTATGCAGATCTCAGTTTCATAACTGTTAGATCCCTACATTTGTAGGAGTTCAAAATTCAGCTTTGAGTAAATTGTACCAGCCCAGAAA